GGTAGAAATCTCAGTAATCCGACATGACAGCAAAAAAATGTGTTGCAGTGATCGCCTCTGGATAAGGACAGCAAAGAAAGAGGACTCTCACCCCTTGAGAACAAAGAGTTTGAAGCATGTTTGTTTAAAAAGAATATATCTCCTGATGGCTACTCGTTGCTGCTGCTGGAACTGGGTCAGGCATGGGGCAGAACTGCAATTTAGGTGCACAACTGTCCATACCCACCATGGTACCATAGGCACTGAGCAAAGGAGCAGTAGGGAAAAGTGAGAACCATCCGTTCTGGTGATTTTAGTTATCTTCATAGCATTGCCAGCTTTAGGAGACAAGTAATCAGATGTTTAGGACGTCTCTCATCGTATGTTTTTAAAAGTCTTATTTTTAGTCGAGTAAATGTCCGTGTTCTTTTCCTTTGCTTTTGGGGGTTTGAATCATTCAGTTTTCTGTTCAGGTTTTCTCTTTGACAGTGCACAGGAAAATCTCAGGTAAAAGATGACCAAGGGCCAGGCAGAAAGGTTTCCCATGTGCATACATGACAACAGGAGTTACGCTCTAGAAAAATCAAATGTCACAGGCACTGGAAACTTGGCATAGGATCAGGAAGGAGGCCTGCCCTGTTAGATGCTACAAACAGTGGGTATGTTTCTAAAAAGGATCAGGGGGAAATGGTTTTAATAGATACACAGATGAGACTGCTTTGTTGCAACTTTTCTTGGTTAGTCCATGCATTCGCAGATTTTTTTCTGTAGTTTTATATCATTGCATCTGTAGATGACTAAATCACTTAGGGGCAGATTTTTGAAGATATGTGGATGTTTACTTTCTGTCTGTGAGCATCCAGATCCCTTTTAAAAAAATAGTAAGAAGAAAAATCCCTTAGGCCAAGCTATTATATTTCTTTCAGTCTTCACAAAGCATTATCTTTGTTCTTCCAACTTATGGGCTTTTTAAAATGTATTGTATCTCTCATGTGTCAGACCTGAAAATAATGGCCAGTCAAGCACTTTTTCTAATTCAGAAACACCTTTCTTGTTCCCTCTACCTGAGGGAGGCCATGTCACCAGATGGATTTTCAAGGTCATATCCATATTTTGCTCCCAGAATTGTTACTACCAAACATGCTTTTTTTTTGACATTGTCACAGCAGATGCACATGGCTGCTATGAAGACAGGCTGTTGGTGGCTACTTGTGTCACCAAACTTACTGTTTGCCCTGTCTCACCTGAGATGGTTTTGATATTTAGGCAGTGTTGGCCAGACCTGAATCCTTGTATTATGATACAAGAAAAGCAGACCAGGACTGATCCACAGTTGTCTTCCAATATTACCCCTTGTTGCCTGTTACTCCCCCTGCCCAACACCTGCCACTGACAGGGAGCCATGGCTATTTTGGCCATGTCAGTGCCTGGATGTTTCCAACAAGAGGAGTAAGGGAAATGGAGCACAACCTTAGCTAGTACATAAAAAATTGGCAACTTCATCAAATGTTACTTTGATGATTATGTTTGATTGCTGTTTACTTTTTTACCTGGGAGCCGGCTGCGGAAACAGCAGATGGTTATAGGCAGGGTGGGATCTGGAGAAGGCCATGCAAGCTGTTATAATATGAGGCATGGTGAACTTCCCATCAGCAACAGAGACGTCTTGACCTCTGGTATTTTATCAGAAGTCTACTTTTTTTTTTTTTTTTTCATAACTAAAAGACAAGGTGCAGTTTTCTTTGGAGAATCCTTCAAAATTCAAAAAGGAACTGACACCAGGCATTTCCACTCCAATAAGCACAGGTACCAGGCCAGCATTGGTTAGCATATGGGCAGCTCTTCAGATCGAAGAGCAGTCAAACAAATAGGCTAATGGGTTTATAGGTGTGTGTGTAGATATGAAAGTATGGCAGCTGGAGAGATGGTAAGGGAGGCCAGGTCCCACCTCTTGGTCCTGCACCTTTGTCAGCTCAGACCCAGTGCGCACTAAAAACAGCTGAAGGATTGGAGAGACTGGTGTTGAGTGTTTCTGCCTTCTTTTTTTTTTTTCTATGAAGGGTCTCACATCCCCCTTTTCAAGTGCTTTTCTGCAGCAGCTGGAACTAAAGAGGTAGAGATAGAAGTCGTTCATTCCTAGAGCCGGGGCTTGCAGTAGGCATCTGAAAGTGCAAAACTCACTCAAAAGGGACTGGGAGTTGGCCTCACTTAGCAAAACTTGTTCTGTCAGTCTTTGTTATCAACTTGAGCTGCATCAGTATTATCAGTCTCAAAATCTTCATAGGTCCATTAGGTAAAATACTGGTTTTTAATAGAATCAGTGGCAGAACTTGTAATACTGTTAAAACCAGGAGTACCGTGTTCTTGTGTACCAGTCCCTTTGCCAGGCCTTGATTCAAACACCTCCCCTTGCCTCCCTTCCCTCAATTCTCTGAGGTCACCACTGCCAATAATAGCAAAACCAAAGCAAAAATGTGATTCTGTTAATTAATAAGAAGATTTGTAAGGTATCCTGATTCTGAATGTATCACTAGGGACTCAGCAGTGGAGAGCCTTTGTTCCTCAAACGAGTCTGAAGAACACCTGAGCTGGCATTTGGGCCCAGAATATAAATCACAACAATTGTTCACATTGCTTTATTATAGAGGGAATGTTAAAACCCAAAATTTGATTTATTAGCATTGTTGGAAGTGTACAGTCTAACTGAAGTCAAGTTTGGTTTTTTTTTTTTGGAAGTAACTGTGTTTTGCATCAACAGCAAGTAGATAAAAGCTTTCTGTAACTTGTTTCATTTATCACTAGAGAGCATTTGATACTTCCTCCATATAAGGTAAAAGCTTTTATAAAACATTAATAAGCTTCCATGGTTATTACTGATTTGTAGTGAATGTCTAAACAAACTCTTGTAGTCTTTTATATACTGTGCATGTATCTTCTTTACTCTGACCTAGCCCTTTAAGCTTACAGAATCATTCTTTTTTGGTTTTGAGATTACTCAGTCCCAAGAAGACCAGGTGATTAAAAAAAAAAACAAAAGAAGCAAAAAAAAAAAAAAAAACCAACCCCCCCACAAAAAAAACCCAACAAAAAACCCCCACATGTTAACAGTGTGTCCATGGGGCAGAAAAGGCCACCAGGCTCCTGGGTTGCACTAGACAGAGCATTGCCAGCAGATCAAGGGAGGTGATCCTGCCCCTCTACTCAGCTCTGGTGAGACATATCAGAATGTTGGGTACTGTGCTGGGCTACCCAGTGCAAGAGAAACAGGGACTTACTGGAGCCAGTCCAGCAAAGGACCACAATGATGATTAAGGCATTGAAGCATCTCTGTGTGGGGAGAGGCTGAGAGAGCTGTGACTGTCCTGGACCAGATCATCCAGGCAATCTTAGTGGCAAGTATAAATATGTGATGAGGGGAAATAAAGAAGATGGAACCATGCTTCTTAGAGGCAGATAGTGGAAAAGCTTTTCTTTTTTTTTTTTTTTTGATGTGAGGGTGACCAAGCACTGGTACAGATTGAGCAGAGAGACTGTGGAGTCTCCATCCTTAGAGATACTCTTGTAGCCCTTGGAATGGATTAGGTGATTTCCAGAGTTCCCTGCCAACCTCAGCTCTTTAACATTTCTGTGGTATCTTTGATGCAGCAAATGCTGAGACTGTTCTACGGTTATAAGGGCACTATCCTGCACATTGAGCAGCTTGGAGTGAGAGCAGATCGTCTGCCTGTTTCTATTGCAGAACCAAGCAGCTATTAAATGATGACTTGTGCACACTAATGACACCAAATGGATTTTTAACATGTAAACAAGAAGAGGAAAGCAGAGTAACTCGTTATTAGCTATGGGTTTGCCTGAAGCAGATTTCCCATGTTAAAGCACTTAAAAGCAAATACAGAATTTATGATGTGTCAGTAGATTTTAAACCTGAATTACGTCCAGTTGCTGTAATGGCTAATAATGCAAATTATCTGAGTCACCCTCAGTGTAAAGCAGTAAATATAATTTACCCATTCAGACACACTTCTTTTTTTTGTTTTTCCTCTCCCCTTTCCCATTAATATTTTATCTCCCTGAAGAGATGTTTTCCACATATTATGTGCACCAGCATACCGTACTTGTGGTATTTCTGGATGTCATTACAAAGAAGCCTGAAGACTGTATCGCTGCTCCACTGCCTGTGATGCTAGCTTGGAAATTGCTTGGAGCAACAACAGCAAGTGTCAACAGGGAGCTGTATTAATTATTTGGAATGTGTCTCATAAGAGGAATCAACTGCTTTTATTGCAGAGCGAATATTACTTGAAACGGGAAGGTTACCCTAACTGTTATCATAATCTATGTGTCATTAACTTTCCATGTTTAGAAAAAGAGATTAACAACCCTGTAAATTGTTACAGTAAATAGATGAATTATAACAAAATGGTTTTATTATAAATAGAAGTTTCTTGATATAGTTACCTTCAAATTGCTGGAGAAGAATTGGGTCTGAACAACTCTGAAACTGCATGGTGGTGTAGGGAACAAAAAAGGTTCCACTGAGGTGAAAGCAATGCTGAGTTCCAAAAAATGATGTTTGCATCTTCTGCAGGTGGGACAAACAGGTGGAATTGTGCTGCATCCCATGCTTCCTTCAAAAATTGCTGTGACATAGAAATACTTGCTTCTCTCTTGGAGTAAGATGAACAGATTGAATGGGCTTGTGTGAAATCAGTGGTCTTCTGTAGCATATGGCCTTTCAAGAGAACATGGTGCAACACGTATGCGGTAGTGGTAAACCAGGTATAACTAAATTTCAGCAGAGTACCCATGTCTGCAAGGAAAAAGCAGAAGAGATGGGAGTGTTTTCAACTTTTCATCAGATGTCTGCAGAACATGGAAGTTCCTTGGGAAAAATGCACAATAGAACAAAATGCTTCAAAACCAGTTTTTAAGCCAGTGCCATAAAAATGCTGTGCATTTGATTATAGCCCTGATAGATCTCTGTAGGAAACAGTGGAACTAAACCACTTATTTGTCCACAGGGCAGGCTCACCATGGGCAGGTTTCCTACATTGCCCCACCGATCCACCTCGATTCGGATCTGGAGAGACCGCCATCCAAGGGTGAGTCAGTGAGACAGCCTCCATTCATGGCATTGTGAACCAGCCATAGGCGTGGGTACATGTCACTCACTTGTTCATAGAGCCTCCATTGTAAAGTTATCACCCTCCATCCAAGGACACTCTCAGGGGCAAATTAATTCCTGCAAGAGAGATGTATGACAGGCGGCCATGTCCCATATGTCCCATTACATAGCTTTGAACATACCATCACTTCACAAGCTATTTTGCTCTCCCCACTAGTTTACTCTTGCAGGGACAGCATACCTTAGATCCTGCCCTCTGTCCTGCAGCTCTCCCTCCTAATGGCAGTACAAAGGCACAGGGAGCTGATGGCAGAATGCAGAAGGAGAGATTTCAGCTGCCCCTTGGATGAGTAAAGGGTACAGAAGGGGTTGTGCAGTGGTTCCAGCCTGGATTCAGTCCTCATCGCTGTTGCTTGAGGTGTTTTCTAGGCTCAGTAGAGGATGACTGTAGAGAATGACTCAAATTTTAGGGGAGCTCATTGCCCTTGGGAGCAACGCTAGTAGCCAGTATGTATGGAGTAAGTCCAGAATAGCCCTGCTAAGATAGGTGCCTCTCTTGAATGGCACAAGAAAAGCAATATGAATGTAAGCCCTTGATTTCTCTGCCTCATTTGGAGGATCATCCCCTGGCTGTGCTGTGCTGAGCCCCCAGTGTTTGCCTTTGTGGCCTGGGGAAGTGAGTTTATCCCCAGAGCAAGCATATGTGCTGGTGCAGACTTCTTACACCTCCTTTTCCTCTTTTTAGTTAGGTTGTCAATATTCATGTAGGATATCAAAATTACCAGCTTGTTCTTGGAATAGATAATAGCAAAGCTAAAATCAAACAGGAACATGAAGGGAGCTTGGTCAGCTCCGTAAGTGTACATGAATATCAAACACAGGGAACGTTGCAGAAGAAGAGAAAGGGAGGAAGAGGACAGCCAAAACGTGATAGCATAGCGATGCACTGTAGCTTAGGTTTGGGGTTTTTTTCCTTTCTCCCACTCTCCGAAGGGTGCTACAGTGACAGAAAGGGTACCAAGTTGACCTTTGTAGTGATTGTCATCATTCTGCCACAACACTGTAAGGCTATTGGTGTGTGTCTGTGTCCGCACTTGTTTCTCTAACTGCTCTTAATTGAAAAATACGTGTTAATGCAACATTAATCTGGATAGACACACTTGCATTATGGAATATGAAGAAAGCTGTCTTCTCAATCTCACTTTGTTATCCATCTCTAATAACCTGGGAGACAGAAAAACCTTCTGTTGGTGAATTGCAGCTACAACTGCAAACCCTGTTCCTCCAAATGGCCCAAGAGCTTTGTGGGCTAAAGAAAAGCATAGTGTTAGTGCTCTTGGCATGAAAGTCTCCTTCAGTTTTGACTGAGCTTTTCCACCAGCATCCATGTAGCTAGGTTCTGTAACTTGATCTTAAATGAACTTGAACTTAAATGTTTGCTGAGTTTTTTCCCTTTGTATGTGTGAATGTGTGTTTGCTTAGATGATGCAATAACAAAAACTAAGGACTTGAGTCTTACTGCACAGCAGCCTCAGCATTATCATTCCATAGCAGTTCCTCTTGCATCTCTGCAAGGTGAAACCACGTGGTGGTGGAACTTGGATGTGAGGATGCCAGATTCGCAGTCTCCTCTCCCAGTCTGGTCTTGCCGTGAATCAGGCTGGTTGAGTGTAATCTCCTGACAGTCCGCAACCTCCATGTAGCTTTGAGTGAACTACCCTGAGATTTGACACATGCATCTGAGATCATCAGCTTCTAAGTCACTTGAAAACCTCCAGTTCTATGGTAAAATTTACTACCTTGCTTTTATAGCAGAGCACTCCAGTAAGGCAGAGACAGTTATGACTTCCAGGACCTTCTGGCTCTAGCTTGTCATTGATTTGATGAATCAGAGCTTACTTAGAATAGGTCAGTGTAAATCCTTACCTTGGGGTCTGGAGCAGCCTATGGAAGACTCAAGGATGCTGGAACAGCAGCAGACAAAAAGCTGTGCCTTGCCTTCTCCAAGAGGAAAGAGCTAAGGACTAACAAAAACCTTCAGTGATCTGGTGTTCATGAGGGCATAGCTACCTCAGCAAGATAAATGGCAGTGCCACCAGGAGCGGGGCAAAGTGGGTCAGGCAGAACAGTTGCAGTGCTTGCAGAGAAGGTAAAATGGAGCTTTTCCAACACAAACTGCTACATTAACTACTTTCACCAGGACCTCCACTCCCCTGGTTGACAAATCTTAAAGAAGGAGCTGCTTAGTGTGGAAGGACTCATTACTGCTGCTGTGCATTGGTAAAAGGGCTTGAATACCCTTGTGTCACTTAATAGGAGAGGGCCAGGGAGGAAGCCAGCTCTGGAGGCATCAATCTATTAGCTGGTGACTAGGGGCTGTTAAAAATGTAGTAATTGGTACTGTTTCCTGGGGGAAGAGCAAGGCTTTTCTCTGGCCCTGGCATGTGGGACAGGTAGCTTTACTTATTTACCTGCTGCCTCATTTCTAGGCTCAGAATCCAAAATCCATTCGAGTATTGTAATAATATTTTATATTTTAATACTTTTTCTAAGTATGTTAGGCCTACATTTTTTTGTTTGTTTGACTGCATTTTCTGACACCTTAGGACATGCTGAGGTCATGTTCCAAGCTTCATCCCATAACCACAGGAGCTGTTTTAAACAAAGGAGTTAAAAATACCTGTCCTGAAGGTCTTGTTGTTCCTCCACAATTCCTGTAGCTGGAACTCTAAAAACAGAGCAGCATTATGACAGTCGGCATAAACTACTAATGTTTTTGTCTGCTCCTTTGATGCCCTTCATTTCCCCTCTCCATTCCCCCTCACAGTAAGCTGAACACCAGGAACAGGTCAATGTTGCACTCAGAGTGGCAAATAGAAGAAGCCACCATACGGGTTTAATTGTAATTAATGGAAATAGAGCCTGGGTAGTGATATAGAAGCATCTTCCCATCCTGTATTATCAAAAAAAGATACAGCTTTAGTGCTCCTGTGGGTCTACGCAGTTACAGTTCTCAGTTGGCAGATTTATTTGTAACTGCCTCTTCCTTCTCCTTTTTAAAAATTTTATCACTGGTGACATTTACACACATTGCTTATGCATGCAAGGAGTTTTTACCTGCCTTTCAGAGTCCTGATGCTAGCAGTGAATAGAGTATGAACTCCAGTAGTTTACTAGCACGTCAGTGTCACCGTGCATTACTGGGTAATTGCTCTGAACCACTGCTCTGTACAGCCACACAGTGATGACACTGTACATCACTTAATAGAAATGAAGCCCTGAATCAGCATTCTTCATGAAGATACTTCTTATACCCCACTCCCTTTTTAATTTGAGGCTGTTTTAGAATTAGTTCCATATATGAAGCACTGTTAACCATTATTTTTACACCTCCTTGCAGTCCAGCAATCTGGATGTGATTACATGATTTTTATGCAAGTGTTTACACCTTCTGTGTACAGAATAATTCCAGGGATAGCTGAGACCTTAGGTTGTGATCTCACAGACTGAAGATTAAGCCTGTGTTTCAGAATGGATCACTGGTTACTGACAATAGCAAGGAGTTTCATAGATGAGAGTGACACTGATACTCTGGCTTAGGAAGGGATTTTATGGAATTATCATATATAGTAATAAATTAAATTTAGCATTTGTACTCAAATTCTGCCAGGTACTAAAAAAACAGTAAAGAAGTGAATTAAGCTCACAGAGTATGCACACTAAAACTATTTATAAAGCTGTATAGAAACAGATTTTAGCATATATGTGGAATCATATTAAACATTAAAGGTATGCCTGGGGTTTAAAGCTGGACAGACTGAGAAACTCTCCTCCCTTATTGAACTGATGTTTTGCAAAGGTGTCCTTTAAAATTGAAACTCAGAGAGTAGTTATCTTGGAGATTGATATGCTTGAAGACAGTACATTTCCAAAATATTAACTGATAAGCAAAACTGTGTATTCATCCCCAGTTCCCAAAACAAATAACAAATGAAGGAGGCACAGAAAGTTCTACCCCTTCTGTGTAGATTTCGCTAGCCAGGGAGGTTATTTTGGCCCCATTTAAGGCACTGTGGGAGGTTTTTCTGTAAACCTCAGTTATTAGGTTCATCTTCAATAAACACAGAATCTGTCCCTACTCCTTAGGCAGCATGTCAGGGAGACAGAGAGAGGTTTTGCTGGGTTTACCCCTTGATTCTCTGTCTTAGTGTCATGTTTCTTTGTGCTTTCTTTCTTCAAAACTGGATCCGTTCTGCTATTTTTCTCCCCCTTTGCATTTACAGTGTCTGAAGGAGAATCATTCCTGAACATTAGCAACACTGTTAAATCTTATTACCAAAAATAGAGTAGGTTTTTGTAAGTATGCATTCTGGATCTTTTTTTTTTTTCCCTCCCAAAGGTCCCAGAGAGGGTCGATGGCTTTGCAGATGATATAGGAGATCTGACAGCTGGGCTTATTGCACAGCCCCAGTCCTCCTTCCCAGGTCCAGAGAAAGGGGAGTGCTGGGCAGTGAGGCCCAGTGGCACTCCTTGCCTTAATTCAAGCTGACACACAGGGTCACGTATCCCGTGCTCGACAGGCCCTGAGACACCAGCTTGCCTGCCTCTCCCTCCCCAGATTCAGTGCTATGAGAGAGGTGCTGCACAGGAGTTTCTGCTCCAAGTTCATGTTGGACAGGCACATCCTTATTTCCAGGCTGGGGAAGCCATTTTTCAGCTTAAGAGTCCTTTACACTGTCCTTCTGCTGCTCTCCGAGGTCCAGCTTTTACTCACCCTGTTCCTTCCCTTTAGAGTTAGTTACAGCTTTGTGTTTCCAGCTCCTTAAGGCAGTATTATTTTCCTGATGTCCTTCATGTGGAAGAGTCCAGGTGAGAGACTAATTCAATACCTTTAAGTAAAAAGGATCATGCACTGGATGCTATTTGTGGTCTCCTGTGGTCAGGACCCTTATTCCCTTTTTTCCTGGGAAAAATGCA